ACCGGCCCCGGTGGTCTCTAGCGGCTGTCCCTATACCGTGTGAGCACAGCTACCTGTGGGCGTCACACGGCCACCAGCCACGAGCGTAGGCAGCCAACACAGCCCGGCTGCTCGCAACCAGCCCTGCATGGGCTCGCGGTCCCCCTTCAGCACAAGCCCCTGCAGGGCCCCCAGGGGACATTTCCAACGGGAAGCAGGAGAAAGTCAGTGCAAAAACCCCAGCGGACTGGCAGGCAGCGGCTTTCCTCCTTCACTCCACCTCTGCAGCTCAGGAGTGATGCAGGAGGTGCAGAACCAGGACAGGGTGGCAAGAGCTGACTCCAGCTGAACTCCCCCATTCATCCTACAAACGCCGCCGGCCCTCGCCAGGCTCCACCGTCGGTGCTGCACCCACTCTTCCAGCAGCTCCTCGCCCCCCGCCCCAGCAGCCCCGCAGGCTGGCAGCTTCTGCAGACCCTCCAACACGGGCGCAGCAGCTTTCATGCCTCTCCCAGGCATCACTGCCCTGCGGTGGTCCCCAACCATGCCAAAACAGAGCCACTGAACTCTGCCAACAGCACCCAGAGCCCGCCAGCACCAGGCAGGGAACACGTTCTCCAAGGGCTTGGGGCAGGGACTACGTCCCCAGGCAGGCAGCAAGCAGGACCTGCCGGCACTCGAGGCTTCTCCACTGTCAAGCCTGGGCATAAAATAACCCATTCACGCCCTTGGCAATGCATGCTCTGTTTACGCAATGTACCTGTTTACAGGCTGCACTACCGAAAACACTGGGTGGAAAGCATCCAAGTGTGCCAGGAACAGTTTTAGGAAGCGACACGGGCAAGCTTCCAGCCCAGCAGGCGCGGGGATGGAAATAGCGTCCGACTGGTATTTATAGCAGCGCCACAGAAACAACTCGCACCCCTGGAACAGGATAGCCAACGCCCGGGGCCGTGCACGGGGATGCGGGCACACTGCAACTGAGGCCAGGCTTCTCCCTTGCTCCGGGACACGACAGGTCCGGGAAAAAGCATCGGCATCAGCTCCAGTGGCATTGGCACAGGCATCGCACCGCCCGGACGTAGGACGAGGGAAAGGAACATCACCACATCACCTCTCTAGCACGAATTAAAGCACCTCAGCTCCACGCTAGGCATTATTTTCCAGCGACCAAAAGCTTCAGAAGATTTTCTGCTTTGCAGCCCAGGGCCACAGCTCTGGTGCTTCAGCATCCAGGGCAAAGAGACACCCGTCTCCCCCTCCACAACCCCTCAGCACCCCAACCCTAAAGACAAGGGGTGACCATGCTGGGATACCGATGCCTGTGAAACCCGGGCATCGCAGAGAGCCCTGGAGCACGGGTGGGTGCCCAGCCAAAGCTGAGGAACCCAACGGCTCCACGCCCAGGTAAATAACCGCAGAGGATCAGCGCGGCTGTGCAGCACGGGCTCACCGGGGCAGCGCAGGAACGCAGCCGCATACGTACTTGTTGGCTCGGATCCCTTCCCGGCGGGAGGCCAGCCCTTCGGCCACGAGGGACTCAGCAATGTTCTCGCCACTCGTGTCTGCGGACGGAAGAGGAGAGGAATCAGTGAGACAAGCCACCAGCGTGCGGCGCGGCCCAGAGGCACACAGACCTCAGTCCTGGAAAGCACTCCCAAGACAATTCCAGCTAACAAGTGCCGGAGAAAACCAGGAGTAAAAGGTTCCTGTCACCAGCCCGGCGTCCCAGCAGCACATGGCCTTCACGACGCATTGAGCGGAGCATTTGAGCCCAGCGATCTCCTGGGGACAGCGTTTCCCCCAGACCAGGGAAGGCAGCACGTCGCTCCGATGCACTGCCGGGCTGCAAGGTGTGCTGTCACCCAGGACAGTCTCCATGGGAAAGGGATGTCCTCAGAGGCAGGCAATGCCCTCCCAGCACCAAAGGGGCGCTCTGGATTTGCAGCGAAGGCTGTGGTTCCAGCTCAACCTGCAACGGCCACC